TGATACCAATAATAATAACAATAATAACAATAATATCAATAATACTACGAGTACGAATAACAATACTAATACGAAGACGAACAAGAAGAATAATCTTAATAATGATATGAATAATAATAATAATAATCATATTATTAGTATTATTTTTACTGCTACTATTATCATTATTATTATTAATAATAATAATGATGATAAGAATACTACTATTAAGAATACGAAAAATATGAATAATAAGAAGAATAAGAGTAAGACTAAGCATAAGAATCATAAGAACAAGCCATACGAACAATAACAATAATAATTCTAATCAGAAGAAGTGGAGGAGGAGGAGGAGGAGGAGGAGGAGGAGGAGGAGGAGGAGGAGGAGGAGGAGGAGGAGGGAGGAGGAGGGGGAGGAGGGGGAATGAGGAGGGGAGGAGGAGGAGGAGGGAGGAGGAGGACGAGGAGGAGGGGGAGCAGGGGTGGAGGAGGAGGGGGGGGGGGGGGGAGGGGGAGGAGGGGGAGGAGGGGAAGGAAGGAGGAGGAGGAGGAGGAGGAAGGAGGAGGAGGAGGAGGAGGAGTAGGGGAGAGGAGAGGAGGGGGGGAGGGGGAGGAGGGGGGGAGGGGGAGGGAGAAGGAGGAGGAGGAGGAGGAGGAGGAGAGGAGGGTAGGAGGAGGAGGAGGAGGAGGAGGAGGAGGAGGAGGAGGAGGAGGAGGAGGGGAGGAGGGGACGAGGAGGAGGAGGAGCAGGAGGAGGAAGGAGGGAAGGAGGAGGAGGAGGAGGAGGAGGAGGAGGAGGAGGAGGAGGAGGAGGAGGAGGAGGAGGAGGAGGAGGAGGAGGAGGAGTGGCGTCTGCGACAGTTCCTGGCGGTCCCTGGCCTCGGGGCGCCTTCCGGCGTCTGCGCATCGCCAACTGCGGGAAAGGGGGGGCTGTATTGCCCCGAGCGGCCGCCGCAGAGCCGAGCGATGATCAGGAAACCCAGAGTCAGGAGGGAAAAAACACACTCACACAGACACACTTCATCGTCGATTCCCCTGAAAGTTTACGAAAATATGGGAAGTGGGGGGGGAAGACGAAACTCTAAAAGATATAGGAAAACATTGGGAATCCGTTTATATGTGTGTGTATTTATGTGTGTGCCCCTTGGCCCCTTTACGGAGGCAACGCTCAGGGGGCGTCATCGACGTTCGAGGTTCTCGGACGTGTTCGCCGGCTCCTGGCGGCCTCCTGGCCTCGGGGCGCGTGCCAGCGGCTGCGCCTCGCCGAGAGCGTAGCCACGGAGGCTCGGGTTGTGGCCCGAGGGCGTCGGGGGAGATGCATCAGCCCCCGCTCGCTTTTTGGTCGCCGATGGGGGCCCGATGGCCCACCCCGTCAGGGAGCGTGCGGATTTGCAATCGGGGGCGTACCGCCGACGACTTGTCAGCGATGTCTCGCCGATTCCAGGGCGAGGCTTCCCTCCTGAGCTGGCACCCTTTCAGTGTCAGGAGGGGGGCGACACACAGACGCAAACAGGTGTCGAACCCCAAGAAAATGCAGGACAAGATGGGAAGTGGGGGGTAAGGCGAACACCATGACCATGTATGAACACGTAGGATGTCTCGGGATGTGTGTCTACTTGTGTGTGCTCCCTGGGCCACTTGAACTGCTTCCCCTCGTGTTTGAGCGGGGAGAGGAGGAGGAGGAGGGGGAGGGGGATGGGGAAGAGGAGGAGGAGGACGACGAATAATAATAATAATCATACTAATAAGATAGGAGGAGGAGGAGGAGGAGGAGGAGGAGGAGGAGGAGGAGGAGGAGGAGGAGGAGGAGGAGGAGGAGGAGGAGGAGGAGGAGGAGGGGAGGAGGAGGAGGAGGAGGAGGAGGAGAGGAGGAGGAGGAGGAGGAGGAGGAGGAGGAGGAGGAGGAGGAGGAGGAGGAGGAGGAGGAGGAGGAGGAGAGGGAGAGGGAGAGGGAGATGGAGGAGGAGGAGGAGGAATGTGCGGAGGAGGAGGAAAAGGGGGAGGGGGGCGAGGAGGAGGAGGAGGAGGGCGAGCAGAAAGTCCGTGGGCCTTTGGGATGCCTCTCGAAGTCGCGTCGGGCTTTTCTCGAGAGCGTCTTGGAGTTCTCTCGGGGCGCGTAGGGGGCCTCTCGGCGGTCCCTGGGACCTCTTGGAGCGGTTTAGGTGCTTCGGGTGAGCCTCGTGGTTGTCTCTCGAGAGTCTCGCTTGGACCTCTTAGTGGCCCCTCGTGACCTCCCGGCCCTCTCGGGGCACTCATGAGACTCTTGAAGGCCATCTCGGGGGCATCTTGGAGGAGCTCGACCAGAGAAGGTGGGGGCGTTCAATTCGCCCCCCCCCGAAGGGGGCCCACATGTGGCCACTGCGCGGGTCAAATTCGGGATTCCGGCTTTTTCGCTGAGGCCACCTTGGATGCTTCAACGATTTGCGAAACCCTCTCGTCGAGGTCCAGGGGGGGGTCTAGGGGAAGGGGTCAAGACACCCCACCGCCCGCAAGCTGCTCGCTCACTCACACCCGCCCTCCCAGCACATAAGTAGCGCCCGAGCGTCAGCGCAGCATGTTCAGCGATCGCATATGGATGGGCAACTACTGGAAACCGAGACAGACCCATGTTTGCTGCATAGTCCAGCCGCGCCAGGTGCGCCACGTTCGGGACGCGCGCAGAGAGCGCTGGGGTGCGCCGTCGCACGTAACAGCGCACACCGGGACCATGTCGCCCCCCACCCACTATGTTTGTCGAAAACTATTGCGCAATCGTGGGGAGGCCGCCATGGTGCCTGGTCGGCTTGCTCAAAAGCAGGCGGCGTGAAAAAGCAATGCTGCCGCCTGGTGTTGTCAAAACCAATGGCCGCTGATCGCGGGATTGCCGCGCGCGGCCCAAATTGAGCCGCGAAGTGCACTTCGCATTGTTTTTTACGTGGATGGAAGACTTGCGTTCAGAAGGCAGTGTGACCCTCCCCCCGCCGTCCTTGTCAAAAAAAGCAAAGTGTTCGCGTGTTTCACGAGCGTGACCCAATATGTTGCCCCAAAGTGTGGGTTGTGTTGTTTTTGACAGGGTTGGTGGGGGGGGTGTCGGCATTGGTCCTGGTTGACCTCTCGCCGCTTGGGGGGGGGGCGTAATAGGGAACAGTGATAGACCGTTCCCCGCAGGGGCAGACGAGGGTGGGGATGGCTGCCGCGAAGCTCGACGGGTACTGCATCTATCCCCACTTGGGAAGGAAGGGTCGGACAGCGGTGCGGTGCAGAACGTGTGCAGATCGCAAGGGTAGCGGGCCAGATTTGCACCATAATGCGACCCGTTGCGCACACCCGCGCGCATCAGTTCATTACGGCAATGCGCTCCCGACTCCATTGTTCTCGTGTGATAGCATGTGCGAGTCACGTTCGACCATCACCGGATCTTGCACAATTCGTCTCGTAGATGCATTTTTCCGCCGCTCTGTCATTTGTGTGATAGGGGACTTTCAGGAAGGTTCTGGGCAGCCACATCGTCTTCCTCCACTCAGGCTTTCTCCGTCATCAATCAATCCACCAGGTTGACCTGGACATATCAGAGTGAGGGGGCCGAACGGTCATTCACTGTCCCTGGGTGCGTGGCTGAAGTGGGATTCCGCGGTGCGGATTCGTGTTGTTGTTGTTGTTGTTGTTGTTGTTGTTGTTGTTGTTGTTGTTGTTGTTGTTGTTGTTGTTGTTGTTGTTGTTGTTTGTTGTTGTTGTTTGTTGTTGTTGTTTGTTGTCGTCGTCCCACCCGCGACCCACCCCGCGACCCACCCGCGACCCACCCGCGACCCACCCGCGACCCACCCGCGACCGCGACCCCGCGACCCCCCCCACCCGCGACCCACCCGCGACCCCCGCGACCCACCCCGCGACCCACCCCGCGACCCACCCGCGACCCACCGCGACCCACCCGCGACCCACCCCGCGACCCGCCCGCGGCCCACCCCGCGACCCACCCGCGACCCACCCGCGACCCACCCGCGACCCACCGCGACCCACCCGACCCACCCGCGACCCACCCCGCGACCCACCCGCGACCCACCTTCGACCCAAACCACGTTCAAGGTACAAACCAACATTTTCGGCGCCTGCGGCGGGCTTTTTTTGCATTCCTTCCAGGTAAGAGCCCGCGACCCACCCCGCGACCAACTCGCGACCAACCCGCGACCCAAACCACATTCAGAGTACAAACCACATTTTTCGGCGCCTGCGGCGGGCATATTTTGCATTCGTTCTAGGTGGAGAGACCGCGGCCCACCCGCGACCACGTTCAGGGTACAAACCAAATTTTTCGGCGCCTGCGGCGGGCATCTTTTGCATTCGTTCCCGGTGGAGAATCCGCGGCCCACCCGCGACCCAAACCACGTTCAGTGTACAAACCAAATTTTTCGGCGCCTGCGGCGGGCTGCTTTTGCAGGAGGAGGAGGAGGAAGAGGAGGAGGAGGAAGAGGAGGAGGAGGAGGAGGAGGATGAGGAGGGAGGAGGAGGAGGAGGAGGAAGGAGACGACGACGACGACGTCTACGACGACGACGACGAAAAGGAGGAGGGGGGAGGATCGGGAGGGGGGGAAGAGGAGGACGACGAGGAGGAACATGACGACAATGGGAGGACGATGATGGAAGGACGAGGGGGGGAGAGGGAGGACGAGGAAGAAGAGGAGGAGGAGGAGAAGGACGAGGTGGAGGAGGAGGACGACGATGACGATGAGGACGAGGACGAGGACGAGGAAGAGGAGGAGGAGGAGGAGGAGGCGGAGGAGGAGGAGGAGAGCGCCATCGACAGGGAAGGTGGGGGCCACGAGGTCCGCCGGCTTGACGACGCCCGCGTCGCCCGCGCCCGCCCCCTCACTCTTATCCGCAATTGCGGGGTGCTACGTATCTCTGCATTGACAGCGGGCGTTACTACATCCCACATCCAATATTCACCCTTGGCCCATCGCAAACTGCCTTTCATTGCTGATCAGATGTTGCACCTTCCAGGTCCTTTCTGTGCATTTTGGTCAGATGTTGCCTCTCCTGCGCAGGCATTATTCCAAAGTGGATTCTGTCGACAGCCTCGAGCTCGCTGCACATGTCCCCGCCCCGCCGCGCGCCAATCTCCTTGGGCGGTGGTCCTGTGTTGCAAGGCAGCACTGACGCGGAGCGCATGCCGTGTCAGGTTTGCTTTGCTTGTGGCAGTTGGATTCTGCATGCAGTGTGTGTTCTAGGGACGATTCAGTGATGCATCGTCTGAGTAGTTGGGGAAAAAACAATGACATAAACGTAAACTCGGAGGTCCGCGCGGATTTCTCGGATCGGCGTTGGACCCCCTTCCTTGGCGCGCGGAGCGCGCCAGGTACGTCGCCGGAGGCGCCGCCAGGGGGCTCCAGCGCCGTTCCGAGAAATCCGCGCGGACCGTTTGTTCCCCTTAGAGTCTTCCCCCCTGCCCTAGTCCTCAGCCTTGGCCGCCCGCCTCGCCATTCGATCCCTGCTGCTCTCGGCGCTGCTGCAGGCTCACTGGAAGTCCCGGGCAAAGAATCCAGCCCTCCCAGACGGGGTCGGGGCAGATGGGGTCGGAGGATCGCGCCGCATCGCCGATGCATCGCCGATGCGGCTCGATGTGGTGCCCGAGTTGCTTCGCGTCGACATCGCCGCTGCATCGCCGACGTGGCGATGTATCGCCGGTGCATCACCGATGCATCGCCGAAGCATCGGCGATGTATCGCCGATGCGGCGCGATCCTTCGACCCCATCTACTCCGACCCCATCTAGATGGCCTCATCTGTTCCGACCCCATCTGCTCCGACCCCATCTATTCTGACCCCATCTACTCCGACCGAATCATCGGAGAACCTTTGGTGTGTGCGAGTGTGTGTGTGTGTTGGCTTTGGAGCACTTCTCCAGTGTGCCTCTGCCCGGCGCGGATCGCCAGCTCACCGACTGCGCTGGCGTCCGCCTTTTGCCGTTTGCCGCTGACCAAACAATGTGTCCTGGCGTTCGGTGCTGCAGTCTTTGGCCGCACGTCGCTTGCACATGTTTTACGTCGGCGGCTAGGCAGAGTAACTGCGCTGGCAGAAGAGCAATAACAACGGGGATTCCGTTGAAGCGAATTGTGCCACAGCGCAGGAAAAGTGAAGGGGACAGGGATATCGCTTGCACACACAACAGGGGAGCCCTGTCCTCGGAGGGTCCTCCAAAGTGTGGCTTGCAGATTCTAATGAATGGGAAGCTGGCGGGAAGGTATCTTTGCGGGGGCGCGGGTGGACCGCTCACAACCGGGGCGTCGAAGTAATAAGCAGTACCCTGGCCAGCAGGTCATCGTAATCGCTGAAAGCGGATGTTCCAGTGCGGCTCTCGCGTGCCTGAGTGAGCTGGGTGCACACTGGGAGGCCCGGACTTGCCATAATCCTGCGGTGCCCCTGCTGCACGTCTTGAGGATCTGGAAGATTGGAAACTGTGAGAATCTGATGCCGCTGCCGCTCGCCTGGACCTCAGAGACGTGGAACGGTGAGAGCCGTGCGCCCTCGTCCACCAGTCTGGACACGGAGCGGTGCGCAGCAGGCGTCCATGCCGCACGCCGTGGACCTCGGAGGCCCAGCGGTGGTGCGGCTCCCGGTGCCCCCTGCACGACGTCGGAGGCCGACGCCCCTGCCGCTCTCTGGCTGTCGGGCTGGACCCGGGCGGCCTGGGCTGGCGGCAGCCGTGTGTGTGTCCCTGCCGCGCCCTCCGGTCATGGGGCACCGTGGGGTGGTGAGGAGCCGGCGCCTCTGCCGGGCAGCGATACTTCAGGGTCCCCTTCGGCCCGAGCGGGCCGGCTCGCTGTCGATGCCGGCCGGCTCGGTGCGGATCCGCTCCCGACGCAGTGGAGACCGATGCCAAGGAGCACCCTGCTCGCCTGCAGGGTGCCCTGGCCTCTTGGGTTTCGATGGTGCTGCGATGGAAAGCGTGACGATCCCACGCCAAGAGACCATGGACGTCCTGGGGCCTCAGGGTGGGGTTTCTTGTGGAATTCTTGTGGACTGGCCTGACGATCCGATGCGGTCTGGCGCTTGCACGTCTCTGCTGTGCATCCCTGCGCAGCGGATCCGAGCCGATCCCGGCCCCGTGCCGGTGTGGCCCGAGCAGACGCACGTGCCGGTGCGGTCCAATGTTCCGAGAGTCGGTGCCGACCAGCCCTGCCTCTCCTGGAGGGGTGCAGGCCTTCCTTGCATCCCTGGCCTCTGCGGCGGAGCCTTCTGCGTCCGATTCCAGCTCGCCGACGGTTGGGGCCATGCGGAGGTCGACGGCTCGTCTTGCACTATGATGTTCCAACCTACTTTAGCCTTGATCGCCAGAAAGAATTTCGAGCACCAAGAAAGTACCAAAACTTGAGGGTCTTCGCGTGTCGGGCCCTGGGAAGCGATTCTCGTTGAACACTGTTTCGATGTTTGTCTGGGTGCTCGAAATTATTTCGGGGATTTGGTCCTTAAGTACGATGGGGGCAACATAAGTCTTGCATCCTTCCATTCGTCTGCCTTGCTTGGGCCACGGCGGGCTTCCTTCTTCGCCATCTCTGTGGCTTTTGGGGCTTCCCACCAGGTCCGTGCGCTACAGCTTGTCACAACGGGCGTTCTTTTCGTCCAGCTGCGGGGGCCCCCGCGGGCCCTCACAGATCGATCTTGCTTTGAGTCGGGCACGTCCCTCTACAGGAGGAATATTCAAAATAGTTTTAAGAATAGTCGGGGGACAATTGTTTCATTTTGTTTTCACTTGTTGTTGAGTGTGTCTTATTGTTCGTCCAGGATCCGCCTGTATAGGGGGACACGTCCGACCTAGATCTTGGTCCAAAGATGTTGCAGAAGTATGGTGTCCAGGGTTATGATGTTCCAGCCTACTTTAGCCTCGATCACCAGAAAGAATTTCGAGCACAAGAAAGAGTACCGAAACTCGAGAGTTGTCGCGCGTCGGGCCCTGGGAGACGCTCGTCCGACACTCTTTCGACACTCTTTCGACACTTTTCCAGGTGCTCGAAGTCACTTCTGGGATGTGGTCCTTCAGTACGATGGGCCCAGCGTGAGTCCAGGGCTCCAGACGTGATGTTTCAATGTCTGTCGCAGGGGCGGAGCCCAGGGTCAGGCGGCGGGCGCCGGCTGGAGCCTCTCGCTCGGGAGGCGCCTCCCCTTGGCAGGGATCTCGAGGAGCCAACCCGTGCTCAGGGAGGTGCCCATGAGTCGGGCGTGTCCCGCTCCAGGAGGGGCATGCGGGAGTAGTCAGAGAATGGTCGGGTGGCGGTGTTTGACTGCTTCTGAGTTTTTGTGTGGTACGTGTCGCTTTTCGTCCAAGCTCCGCCCGTAGGAGGACATGCCCGACCTGAGGGTATCCTGGTTCTCGCGCGGCAGGTTCTTGCGCTGCGCTGGCGCGGCGGCGACCTCGGCGCGGGCGTTTCAGGCTGAGCGCAGCCAGTGGCCAAGAAGCGGCCGACGTCGAAGGATCTGCGCCATCGGAGCGCCGCGGTCGCGCAAGGCTGAAGGGTCCACGCGGTGTCAGAAACCAGCGTCGCCGTCGTCACGCCGCGAGGCTGCCGCATGCGGGCCAACCCAAATCGGCTCGCCGCACTATCTGTTCGACATGGTTCATCTCAAATACGCCGTGGGCCATTTGTATTTGTTGCATTGGAATTAAATTGATACACATCATACGTTATCTGTTTGGAATCGGAGCCATTTCGCTTGATTATAGAATTCGCGTTTTCACTTCGGTGTGCTGGAATTCATTGTGTTAGCGCATTCAGGTCTCAACAGATCACCAGGAAACGCAAACAACACAACGCATAATGTTTGGGGTATTCTCAGATATGTTGTTCTCCATCGTTAGAACCCACCGCGGACTGTCCCTGAGCTTCCGGGCCTGTTCCGCACCAGTGTCAGAGCGTTGTTTAACCACTTTCAGTTCTGCGCACGGAAACCAGTCTCGGCACCCGCCCCGCATAATATGGATCCCCCGAAGAAGATGAAACGCCCAGACAACGCTTTCAAGCAAGCATAAAGCAAACCATTTCTTAAAAGGATTTCCAGGCAGAAGCCCAGGGCGATTTTGAGACGAGGCAAGTTGTTCGAGACCGCTGGAATTTGACCGGCAGCGGGCGCGTGCTCGGGCCCGAGAGGCGCGGCGACCTCGGAGGCGCTCCCCGAGGCGGAGCGCCCTCCTGCGGTGTCGTCACAGATTCTTGTGGATGCCAGCGCTGGTGGTCTGGCGGGGAGCCCCCGGGGGGGAAGCGCGAAGGGGTGGGCCTTCTCGCACGGCTCGCAAGTCCCACGGCTTTCTGAGAAGTTCTATGTAGGTCTTCCCCGAAGGCGCGGAGCACTTCCCAGAAGGCGCGACGGCTTCTGAGAAGTCCCGCCGCCTTCTGAGGAGGCCTTCTCCTTCTCGCTTCCCCCCCTCGCCCGCCGCCGCATGTGGGTGGGGCCATCGAGCAACGCAGACCTCACGAGCATAACTAACTGCTCGGGGCTCCGCGCGGGCTTCCTCTTCGCGGCGCCATGCGGCGCCGATCCAAGAAGTCCGCGCGGGCTTCCGAGACCTGTTTGCGCAGTTCTTCCCAGCCATCCTGTGGTTTTGGGTCCTCGTTTTGAAGAGACAGCGCCCCGCGTCACTCCTCTCCTCTCCTTTCCTCTCCTCTCCTCTCCTCTCCTCTCCTCTCCTCTCCTCTCCTCTCCTCTCCTCTCCTCTCCTCTCCTCCTCCCCCTCCTCCTCCCCCTCCTCCTCCCCCTCCTCCCTACTCCCATCCGCCTCGTCACCTCCCTGCGTTTCACCCACCCAGGACAGAGCTTCGTGGCCCCACAGGGAGCTCCGCCGAAGGCTCCTGTGGCAGGGTCCGCATGCGTCAGCGCCACCCCCAGGACAGCGCCTCGTGATCCCATAGGGAGCCCCACCGAAGGCTCTTGTGGCAGGGTCCGCATGCGTCAGCGCCACCAAGGACAGCGCTTCGTGGCCCCAGTGGGAGCTCCACCGAAGTTTTCAGTGGCAGGGTCCGCATGCGTCAACGCCACCTAGGACAGCGTTTGGTGGCCCCACAGCGTGCTCCACCGAAGGCTCCAGTGGCAGGGTCCGCATGCGTCAGCGCCACCCATGACAGCGCTTCGTGGCCCCGTAGGGAGTTCCACCGAAGGCTCCAGTGGCAGGGTCCGCATGCGTCAGCGCAACCCAGGGCAGCACTTCGTGATCCCATCGGGAGCTCCA